GCTCTGATCAACTCTGAATTGGTTAAGCAGTGTCTTCTTTCAAATAAGCAATATGGCTTTCACTTTACTAAGTCAACTGCTGATGTATTAATTAAAAACATCTGTCGTAACCTGGAACGTATATTAAGACTTAAGTAGAACACTTATATACGACTCATCGCTAAAAATCCTGAAAAAAAGGTTAATTCCTTGTACCGCTCCAGAAAGTCCCTGACTCCTGCCATATTTTATCTTTCCAAGAGTCAGATCAGTCTAAAAATGGAATATTTCTACCATATCTGGGCTGGATATTCTCAAATCTTTACTTTTCAGTCTTACCGGAATTCATGCGGTCTTATTTTCCACCCTACAACACCTTTCACATAGACGAAACTTTGCTAGCTTCCCTCTATCGCTATTTTCATGGCAGATGTTCAAACGAGTGACACTCTTTATGTCCGTCAACCCAGACATGTTATTTGGTGTTTACTTTCAATTTATCCTGTGGGTGTCAGATTCCCCAAACCCTCTTTCCTCATTATATGTCTCAGAAATTTCACCTGCCTCTTTCTGATCTTAAGCAAAAGCATTCTATCCCCATTGCTTCAAGTTCCCTTTGTTGACCATATTTGCCGTAGTCACTGAATATGGAATACAGTGAAGTCCGTAATCTCTTCAATATCAGAGGTTGGCAATGTAGATTCGGGCAAAGTAGTGGCTGCTAATTCTTTAAGTCTTCGATATCAGGTTGGCAGTTGAGATATTTTGGGAGAAAAAACAAAATGGCTGCCTTTATACACGTCGCATTGAATATTTTGAGCTTTCTGATTGGTTAACCCTTCTATTGGTGAACTATAAAATGGGTCAGCTCATTTTGACTGGCTCACTAGTACATACATACCCAAAAAACTGCAACACCCTTTTCATCGGTGAGGAAATTTCACCCGTTATCAGCCTTGGCAAGAGTCAGTCATTGAGCTATTTGGATGTAATTTCAATAATCTTATGCATTTAATATAAAATCATTAGGATAAAAATAGAAGAATAAAAATCAAGAATTAACATAGAAAACAATTGTGGTCTTTTTAAGGTGACGTCAAGAAGACAAGTTCGAGTTGTTTAGCCGAGCAGGCAACATATCAGCTATAGCCTTTTTTTCTTGTTTTAATCAAACAGCCGTTGGTACTTGGATAACCTCACTGAGGTGTTTGTTTGTAGACTACAGTCGACGTTCAAAATTTATTATATCTTAATATAAAATCTGTTAACGATTCGCATTATGAAAAAGTAATTTTGCAAGCTTATCAAGCTCCAGATATAGATTAAAGTGTAATTTACATTGATTTACAATCGACCTACAGAAAAACCGGCTCTGTATTTTCTTTACTGAGAAGAAATAAAAAAAGAAAAACATTATTAGTTTTGATTAGTCTTTCTTTGATATTTAGTATTACGATTTATTACAATGCTCAGTTCGTTATATTCAACGACCATTAAAATAAATAACATGAATAGGATTCGGATGTTGATTTTAACAGTTGGAGAATGTAACGACCTGGACTTCATGATAAAAATAACAATAAATATGGAAAAATAGTTAAAATTAATGATGAAAAAAAAAAAAATTGAACAATTAAAAAACCCTGATTTCTTTTATATTAGTTTCTTTATTTTAAGATATAATAACTGTCTTGTAGAATAACTTAAAAATTAAGATACAAGTCATTTATTTACATTATTTCTCAGAGTAGTATAAGAAAGTAAATTGATATTATATCCTTATATACACTTATTATTATATCTTTTAGGTTATTTCCCTTCAAGATATAAGCGGTCATGGCTTTCCACAGGTTTCTTTTCTTTATTATCTGTGGATTACCATAACTTAGTGTGAAAAACAGTAGAGTGTTTCCTGTTACATTCTGTAAACGACGTACTGGCGCTTCTACACCGGTCAAATGTTACAATGGCAGCCATTTTGTTAGCAGTCAAAAAAGTCACAATAAATAAAATAACATTGAAAAAATATCTTCAGTTTCAAGCAAATAACACTTGAATGGCAGACAACACAGAACCAATGATATTCTAACATTCTCTTTAGGCTGAAAATATCTGCAAGACTGAGATTCTGCACCTCAATTCCACAGCGGAAATATTTACTACGAAGAGGCCAACGATTTTGCAAGGACAACTTATTAGGCAATAGCTCTTTGATTAAAAAATAAGGATTTTATTTTTTCTAATTTACTTCATTTTTATACATTTTCTTTAATGACATCACTTTTCAGTGTGAAGCCATACAAGGCTCTCCACTGATTATATTTATTTATTCTCAGTGAATTGCCATGACTTCTTAGGAAAGATAGCGGAGTGGTTTTCCGTTGCTTTCTCCATGGTTTGGAATTCAGAGTTTTCCCAGTCTACCCTGTTATTTAATTTATACACGGTGGTAGAAGAGACGTAGTCATGCCTTTCTCAAGGGCATTTGTGCAAAACTGAACGCAACAGATCCTGTAAGATTTAAACTTGCCTCGCCGATTCTACATTCCGTGCCGGCAACTGCTACGCTAATTTTATTACAATTCTTATATATTAACAGAAGAAACAATTAAAGGATGGAATTTACAAGTTATTTATGCTGGTTTCATTCTTTGGGAATGACTGCAAAATACTTGTCTCTCCCTATTTTATAGGCAGAAGGATAGCAATGCATGCTGGGATTTTTTCTAGTCGATAAAATAGGCGGGTTCTTGGTTTTATCTGACTCAGCCCGGGTCTGTCTTGTCTTGAAGTCTGAACGCTACATTCGCTTGTCTAAAATTGCTTTTATGTGTCAACCCCAATTCTTAGCTTGTGAACTTTTGCCATATCACTGATAATTTGCCTTGCATATATTGTTTGTTTGCTTTATATTATTTTTGCCTTTTCTTTTTGTTATTATTGCTTATTTCCTTCCTAACCTTTTGTTTGATGTAGTGTCGAAAATCAACACCTTGAATACGTCATTATTTTCTCTTCGAGTTATATGTACTATCTATTTTAGCTATTGGTGTCGTTGGTATTCCTTAAGTGATGTGGTTTCTGTTATTTGGCACAGTTCTTTGTTTGTGATTCTGTAGCGCCAGTCTACAACGTTCAAAGAAGAATGATCTTCGCCAAGACTCACAGGCTACATTCTCTTAAAGCCATTTTTAACCATTTATCTGAGAAAGAGGTTGTACACAACTGACAGTTTAGATATTTTTGAACATGTTTGGCGCGATGTATGGCATCCATATGAAAGTGTTGATCTGACGAGGCTATTTGAGAACATGACTCGAGTTTTCAGGTTAATGCTTTGGTTTTGTAGAAACTTTTATGTTGGATGAAACTATTTCTGGCACAGCCTATTCTATGTCCAATTTCCTACGATAAATTTGTTACAACTGGTCCATACACCGAGATATTTGAAGGGTTTAGTATTTACTAATTCCACATACTGAATTATCATGATGAATTCAGGCTAGGTGTCATCATTGCTTTCATTTCAATTTCAAATTATTGTTTCTGTTTTGGAAAGATTTATATTGAGTCTTATTTCTTGGAACACTTGGTAGAGGATGTTGATTTTCTGTTCAAGATCATTCTTATTCCAACCATGAATACCCATGTCATCGGTATAAGCCTCTCATTATCAGTAAATTGAAATCAGGAGGAAAAGCAGGATCGTTGTCTTCTATTGCTAAATTCGCTTGTGATGTGGTATGGTATACTAAATGTTCAATTCATATCTCTTCACATCTATGTTTGTAAATGCGAAGAGCATAGTCTAGGAAAGAAATTAAATTATACAAACCCAACCATTTTCTGAGTAAACCATTAACCAAATAAATTCAGAGAAAAGATCAATGCGACAATCTTGCATTTGCGCATGCGCATTAGCATCATCTTACGTCTAGTCCACGTAAAGCGAAAAACGCATGACACTATAGTTTTAAACGACTAGACATTTAAATAAAGAGTGAAAAAAGTTAAAGTTGCCCACGTAAATAAAAAGAGCCAAAAACAGAAACTTAGAACAGAAACGCGAACAAATATGAAGGTACGTTTATTTTAATAAACGCATATATTCGATATGTATTTAATATTTTAAGAATATACAAATAAGATAGCCATAGAGCTCCGAATGAAAACACTGAAGCGAGCATTTAAATACTCGCGATTATACACACGTAGGTACATCAATAATTCTCTAGCCTTATGATAAAAAAGAAAACATATATTTTATAAAAAACATTATTTTATTTTTTAAAAGTATCACTTTTATTGTCAATGCATTTAATCCAGTGATCAAATATTATCCATTGAAAATTTTGAATGAAAATTCAGTTAATAACTGCGTGTCGTGCTAATGATATTTATTGAGGCACCTCTGTAGAAAAGTTAAATACACGCACACACACACATGCACAATGCACACACACAGACTCAAAGAAACACACATACACGAATGCACGCACACATACACACTCTGGTGAACGCACACATGGTCTCACTTAGACACACGCATCTATACGTATGCACACATATATATGCACACACACATACATAGAAAGAAAAATATGGTGGTCTTTAAAGTTTTGTAAAAAATCAAATGAAACTTTAAAAAAAAACATTATGTCTTTTGAAAATTTTCGATGAGACATTTTTACATTTTTATTTTTTTACTATTTTTCATAACTAGATTTACTCCATCTTACTATTGCAGCGTCTTCTTAAAACACTCTAGGTTGATAAACTCTTCGGCCATTAAAATAAAGTTCAACAATAATAACGTAGAGTAAGGCTAGTAGAAAAAAAAATTAAGACTTTGAAAGTTGAGATATTTGCTGAGGTGTGAAAAGCTCAGACCTACCTTTGTAGAGGCATGCTGAAAATTTGCTACTGGCCCTGAGTATCCACTTGTCTGCTTGTTTATTGAGGCAACGATCATTCAGGCTTGATAATTAGTTAGCTACTCTACTGTTTTAAAGTGAGGGACATCAGTAAATATAACAAGGTTGGAAGGATGACAAGATAATGAATATAAAAGAAAGAGGAAAAAGAGAGAGATAGACAGACAGAGAGTGGGGAGAGAAATAGAAAAATAAAGAAGAGAGAATAAGAAGGAGAAAGAGAGACCGAGGAAGATAGAAAGGAAAGATTATAGGAATATGATGAAAAATGCTAAAGAGAGTAAGACAAAGGAAAGAAAGCGGAAAATAAGAGTGAGAAAAATCCGTGAAAGTTAGTATAAAGAAGAACGTGAAAGTAAGAGAAAATTGAAGAAGTTTTTTAATAGCGTGTAAAACTGTAGATGAAGTTGAACCGGTACAAGAAAAAAGAAAAAGAAGACAAAGTAATATAGGACATGTACAATTTAAAAAAAAAGTTGTAAAGAATGTATAAGATAAAAAGGGAAAGAAAGAAGGAATAAGAAATGAAATAAGAAATATTATGTGAGTGTAGGAGAAACAGAGAGGAAAAAGAATAAAGGAAAGTGTGAAGAAAAGAGAACATAAAATTGAAGAGGATGAATGTATAAGAGAGGGGAGCAAGACAAATAGAAGGAAAGAGACAGAGAAAAAAGAAAGAGAGAAAATACGCAGGAATAAAAAAGAATAAAAAAGCGAAAAAAGAAAAAAACGACAAAATATAAAGATATGAATTGTATGAAAAGTGGTAAACAATTAAATAGAAGAAAAAAAAAAGAAACGAAAAAAAGAGAAAATAAATAGAAGAAAAAATAAAAGAAGGAAAAGAATGAAAAAAGAATAAGTTCACGAAAAGAGCGGAATGAAAAAAAAATTCAAACTCGTAAATAACAATTGCAGTATGAACCCACGCTGAACACTCGTAATAAGCATATGATGATTTTCTAAACGTGAATGTGACACAACGCCGAATTATGGGAGACCCAATGAGAATCCAGCATACTACTCAATCGTTATTGTTCTATCGAGACAGTCTTGTTAATCATTGCGTAACATTGAGGTGTCCTGAAACGATTTTCTAAGCTTGGCTAGATGTGGCACAAGGCTGAAAGTATGCGGCACCCGGTGGTGAGAATCCAGCTCACTACTCAGTCGTAATTGTTCTAGCGAGACCAGCGTGCTAATCATTGCACCACATCGAGGTGTCCTGAAACGCTTTTTTAAGCGTAACTTAGATGTGGCATTAAGCCGAAAGTATGGAGCATCTGATGAAGCTTGTAATAAACATATGCGTTAATCATTTTTCTAAGCTTAATTTAGACACAATCCTTTAAATACAGAGCATCCAGTGAGAATCGAGCTCAACAATAACAACAGCAATAATAATAATAATAATAATAATTATTATTATTATAATAATAATCTACGAGACTAGCTTGTTAGCCATTATATCGAAAAGAAAAGCGCTCACACAAGAATGACATTCAGACATTGCCAGACGGGTTCTTAATATTTTTCAGGGCTTTTTTTGGCACTTCTTTTCTTCGACTCTTCTTTCTCTTACAGGTCAAATTGCCGTTCGTTGTTTTGTTTTTCTTTTGCTCTTATCAAATTCTAATTCCAGTACTTCATAGCCTTACAATTCAAACACTTTTGAAACGACAAAAGCTGAACCCTCAGACGTGTGTGTCTGGCGGGAATCGATCCTTGGCTTTGTTAGTACTGGCGTTCCATTGTTTTCGTTTCCGCTGACTATTCTTTACATAACCTTATTTGCATATATTTGCTCCGTCGAGGTCTTTACTCATGCGCACTCGTCTCTCTCAAACATTCTAGTCCCGGAGTGCTTGTTCCTGCTCATCTTCGATCGTCATGCAAACATTGATCTTCCTTTTGTACATCTGACACAACGATCTATTTGTTCGTCTATATATTGAAATTGATCAAATGTTACAAAAATTAATTTTAAGATTTAAGAATATTAGGCAATATATATATATATATATATATATATATATATATATATATATATATATATATATATATAAAAACGTTATAAATATGGACAAAGTAAGTGAAAAAAAATTCATAATTAAAATCATAATTAAATCTGGATCGCAAGTAGCCGATCATATCATTTTACGATATGATAACGGAATTTTTACGGATATTTTAGCGTAGAACTTGCCATAGGCTTATTCAATCATTAACTTAAGTATTAAGATTCGTTAGAAAATTCAAATAAAGAAAACCGTGAAAAATTCATGGGTTTTTCTCGCTATTATAATTATTATGATTATTCCATTCATAAAAATATACATTTATGTGAAAAAAAAACCTTCTCTTATAATAAAGTCACTAAATGCGTTATATTATTCAATAATGAAGTTGACAAAATCCAACATCTGTAATACGTATAGTTTCGTTTGCGTATGATGATAAACTACATCATCCAGCAGCAAGGATTGGATGCACCTTTTAAGGTCCCAGCTGTTGGCAAATAGTGAAACCCCTAACTTTAATCGACAGTACATTTTTTCAATAAAATGAGCAACACTACATTTTTACAGCAATATGACAATGCAATACTAAATGTTATAAAAATACATTTCTTTAGTAAAATTACCAACAATACAATTTATGAACTACAAACCATATATATATGAGGAATCGCAGAGCCGTGTTCGAATTCCAGTCGAATCCATTACATTCACTTACGTGCTAATACCCTTGGGAAAGGTATGAATCCTCTTCTTCTCCCTCCAGCTATGGGTAAAATAGCAGGACAGACTGAGTTCTATAGCCTTGGATGGCAACTGGTCTATGAGAAGGACAACTCTGAATTCAAAACCTGCGGAGGGTCGTTTGGGAACCTTGTGGCACGTAGTGCACCAGGTCTCTGAATTCGTCCCTTCAAAAAGTGTGGCTGGTCTTGCACGAAACCTTCACCACTATAATCAAATCTCATGTGCCGTTGTCGGGCTGTCGGTTTCCTGAAACTGATCTGCTTGACCCTCATACGTCAAATATCGACGGGAGAGTCGATTATATATATATATATATATATATATATATATATATATATATATATATATATATATACAAATCATACCTTTACCTTGAAAGCATAAAATATCTACAAAATATCTGTAGTCCGAAGCATAAATTTACGTACAAAATATTTCAATTTCGGCATTAAAGAACCCAAAAAATCAACCAACCAGCGAATAAAGTTCTTTATTAAATTCATAAAAGAAATAAAATGATTGATTAAATTAAATTAGATTAAAGAATTATTCTTATGCTACATACAAATGATTTCATCAGTGACCTTAGAAGATGCTAACCGTTTACATTTCGTAATCTGAATCTCTTCTGAATAAATACATCTAGACATCGACCCTGGAAAATGGATAAGCTTTTAAGCAAATATCAACAGCTATTTTACTTTCTGCTCCTACAACTTCCTCTGCTTTTTCTTGATTTCATGGTCAAACTTTATCCTCGCTGTCGATTGCTTCTCACCTGTCCACCACTGCAGCGTTATCTTTTCTCTCCAGCCACTCGACCTCCCTTTGTATTTCTCATTGCAATGGCCACTATCATTGTTTGCTGAAATTTGGTGACATTTCGCTGGAGAGGCACTGAGAAAGTTTTGTTGAGGCAGGTCAGTTGGCTCCTAACCCCTTCTGAGTCACTGTTTCAATGACCACATCTGGAGACATGCGCATGGTTATACGAGTTATGTGGTGAACTGAACAATATTAAAAAAAAATTCCCGCGGGATATAGATCGATTAATTTAGAAGCGAAAATCGATAGGTCAGGCTGGTAATTAGTTGCAAGTCTGTGTAGAAGCGATGTTGTCAAATTGCAATTTAGGATGCCTACACTACGTTCAGTGTATGAACTAAATCTGGGGTAGTTTAGCTTAACTTAAGTTATACATTTATATCCAACTAGCAGCATGGCCAGGCATTGCCCGTGCTTGATTCAAAAATCGTACGACTCATACAGCAATCGCTATCACTTGACTTAAAATATTTTTGCCCTTCCTTGCCTTTAAAGGAGTGCCCTTTGCCGTTCTGATGTTACTACATGCCTTACTTCTTGCCTATCTCACACTGCGAATTCTTTCTAAGCTCTACACTAAACAGTAAATCTGTTCCAAAAAAGAACTAAACAAAATGAACACAAAATTATCAGCTTTAAAAAAGGACTCGTAACTGGAAAAACCGAATGAAAAAAAAATGTTAACAACAAATACATTTTCACACCCACCCAGTTCTGCGGAATCAGAATCAACGTTGAGTTTAAGCAAGCGAATGAGCCAATTGGAGTAAAGTGCCATGCAGATTTAAATTTTTCCCACTTGTGATGAATGCAGCTATCGATTTTTTTTTGCATGCTAGTATGCTAGTTAACATTCGTGTCAGTCAGCTGTTGGCTCTCACGCTGGCCAATAAAATCTTCCTGCCTATTCGTGGCAGCCAGCTATAGGCTCTCACTCTGGCCAGTACAAAATGGCCGCAAACTACATGAAAACTGCCGTAGAAGCATGAAAAAATTGATTATTTTCACTACCGATGGGAGTTGGGAAATGCAAAGTTAGTCTTGGCCTTACCGCTAACTTGGAGCATGTGCATGTAAATTTTGGTGCAATTCCGTCGAAAATTGCGGCCGTGCATTCGTTACACTCACTCTCACTCTCACTCTCTCTCTCTCTCTCTCACACACACACACACACACACTGCCTTTTATAGATAAAGATAATAGTTGTTAAATTTAGTTCATGAATCCTAACAACTATTAGGAGACTGAGGTAGTATATGCTTTATATATGTCTCTACAAGATAGTAGTATGATATTTGACTGTTTTATTTTAATCATCTCATCGCAAGTAAGACAATGAAACAATTAAGATACAAGGGATTACTAAGTGTAAGAGAATATGAAAAAAAGAAAACATTAAGAAAGAGAACAATAAAAGAACATAAATTCGAAAGACAGAAGATAACGGTTGATGTTGCATTTAAATTTTTGAAGATCAAAGTTGGGAAGCAAGTGAATAATTAATGAACTCATTATTACTTCTTGGAACCGTGGAGTACTGGTTTTGGAAGTTTGTCCATTACGACGTTATGTCAGGTTTTATCATACAAGTCAATGTTTTCTCAGTAAAATGAATACCAACCCAACAGCTGTTGGTTGTAAAATCCTTGGTATATACTTATATTTACGTGAAGTTATTTAGAACAAAAAGTAGGAAGTTGCGAAGAGCCATCATCAACCCCATCCTGCGGGAACGATGCATAAAAGAAAAAAGGAGTATAAACAAAGCTAACTTTAAATTTTAAATATAGTTGGAATTTGGTTAATTGCAGAGTAGTTTCTCTTTAGTTACTTGCAAATAATTATATTGTAAATTCTAATTATGACAACAAACATAGTTTATGCAAAACAAAACTCATCAAACAGTAATTGCTAGAGGATATGCGTTTAAAGCAAGAAAAGATTTGCAAATAAGGTTCTCAATATTAAAAATACGGCATTAATAAAAATAGAACAATAATAAAAAGTTCAATGACTTATCTTTTGAATCGAAGTTTTTTAAACACAGATCTGCTTCTTACGACAAGATAAATTTATTCCGTTTATAATAAATTTATGACTTTTAAAAAAAATTTATAATACTTTCTGTAAATGTATCTTATTCTGACACGCTATTTTGGACGAGACATGTAGCTGTTGCATTATATGTAGTGACCAATGAACCATTCAATGGGTTATGGTGATTTTCTAAGCGTAGCTTAGATGTAACACTAAGCCAAAAGAATGAAAGACCCATTGAGTATCAAGGTCACGATTCAATCGTAATTGATCTAGCGAGACAAGTTTTCTAACCATTACACTACGTAGAAGTGTCCTTAAAATTATTTTCTAAGCGTAGCTTAGTTATGGCACAAGGCCGAAATTATGGGGCACCTATTTAGGATCGAAATCAATAATCGTAATTGATCTGGCGAAACAAGCTTGCTAACCATAATTCTATGCTGAAGTGCCACCAAAAATGACTTTCTTAGCTTATCTTAAATGTTGTACGAGGCCAAAAGTCTCGGACCCCTTAGCAAGGATCATGTTCTTTATTCAATCGTAATTACTCTCGCGAGATAAGCTTGCTAATCATTACATCACATCGAAGGGTTCTTAAATGATTTTTTAAGCGTAGCTTATATGTGGCACAAGGCCGGATGCATGGAGCACCCACTGAAGATCGAAATCACTCAGTTGTAAAGGATCTAGCGAGATAAGCTTACTAAATATTACACCACGTCGAAGTGCCCATCACCCTACAGTGGGTTATGGGATGCATGCAAATTCGTTTTTTTTTCCCAGAAAATCACGTGATACAACACAACAATGTTTAATGATCGAGAATCTAGCGCGATTATTGCCGCCATGTTATAATTGAAAACGCAATTTCAAGCAGAAATACAAGCAGAAATAAAAGCAGAATGAATAATTAAACATTTACTTCTTTTCAACATTGATGGGCGCGTTTGTCAAGTTTGACAGCATCGTTGTCGTAGTCGATTCAGAAGTTATGGAGGCTGACATATGCGAATGGCGTCGCCGTCGTTTCTTCTTCTGGTAACCGGGACGCAGCTCGTCCAATTCATCTTCACTTTGAGCAGCACTTCCGCTTCCTGTTTCTCTACTGACACGATCACCACGATTTCCTCCTTTATCAGTTTCTTTTCCTCCTTTTCTATTTCCTCCTCTTTTGTTGAACTTCTCTAAACGGTCTTTTCCTTCTTTCATCGCGGCGTATTTTTCTGACATATTATCATTGACATTAGTTGAAAAGGGGCCATCTTTTTTTGTGTACTCCATTCCAAGTATAGGTGATGTGAGATTCTTGATAATCTAAATTAAATAAATATTAAAGAAAGATGAAAATGTTTGCTAATGCAATGTTATCACAAGTACATTATAAATAATTACTTTGTTAATTATACTTTATAATCTCATAAAAAATATGCAGACAAGTGTAGACACTGACAAAAATGTCAAAGTATGAATATTGGTCATCTAATCTCTCTTAACTCTTCAATAGTGTGACTCTCAGTGGGGCTCAAACCTGTTACGTCAGTGTATCACGTCACGACTCCCTTAACCTATTGAAGCTGTATGGACACCACATGTACCGCTGTTGTGTGTCTAGGGCAAAATAACCTGACGGAGCCCATCTCTCATCAGGCTGGCTATGAATTCAATGTTTCGCTACTCTTAGAGTGGTAGCCACCTCAGAGCAAGAGAGTAAGGTCAAACCTGCTATTTGACCCATAGCTTCTTCCGGAGGGGGTGCAAAAGAGATGGATTCATACTCCCCCCTATTCGTACGGAAATAAGTGTAACAAACTCAGCCGGGGTTTGAACTCAGCTGACCGATTCCTCTTTCCGAATCGCTAACAGTTGCACTATTCTCATTGTTTTGCAAATCCAGTTAAACATCTTACTAGGCTAGGGTATTTCACACTTGCATAATTAATGTTAAATCAAAGGGCAACAAAATAGCTTCTATATTCATTAATATCTTCAGCGGTTTTTAAAATGATAATTTTTTAAAAAATTGTTTTGGTTGGTTAATTTAAAGACTTTGGTTACTCAATGTCGAATACACGTCTTATAGGACGGAGATCCTAATAAATTGAATCCATTGCTAGGCCAGTTGCTAAGAGAGTTGGTTCAATGCATTGTGTGAGATAATTTTTCACTCCAGAACCTATCATAGATATCTATAAGTCTATCATTCTTACATGTTTAGAATATTGCTGCCACATATGATCCGGTGCTCCTGCAATTTACCTTAAGCTCCTTGATAAAATTTAAAGAAGAATCAGCAATATTATTGGTCATAATCTGGCAGCTCGGCTTCAGTCACTTCCTCGCCGCCTAAGGTTGCCACACTGTGTCTTTTCTATATATACTTTCATGGTAATTGTTCGGATGAGCTCTTCCCTTTTTATTTTTGTCCCTATTTTTTTCTTTAAGTTTAATTCCCCATCCTCTCCCTCGTTAGGTGGTCAGTGATGTCAGTTCGCTGGTGGATGTGGGGCGCCTTTCGTTTTCGCGTGAGTGCTTTTTTCGTATTTGTTGTTGTGTCTGAATGAGTGCATGTCAGTGTGAGTGATTGGAATGAATGAATGAATATTATAGTCCCGTATTGATTTCGGCCAGTGAAGTGATGTTTCTGCCACATTTAGTGATTGTGGGTTTTTTTTTTATTACTAATCTTATTTTCTTTAGTTTCTTGTAAATAGTTTTTGTTTTCATATTGTAAATACTCATTGGGGCTAGTTTTTAGAATTGTTGTTTTATTCCCCTCCCCCCCACAGACAATGAATTGTAAATATGGGGACTAGTTAGTATTTTCATAGAGACAAAGAGGTATTATGGTGGTTGTAGTAAGAAAGGTACGAATGAATGTGTTGTCTTGGTGTAAGGAATATTGTTCGTACGATTAGGTCAGTGTTTGCGGCTAGCTAAGTTATAGTTAAGACAGAAGAAGACCGTCCTTTCCCCAATCCCCTTTTCGGCCTTGTGCCACATTTCTGTAGAGAACAGAATAAATATCGCTCTTCCCTATCGTACTTAGACTTTAAGCGCAGTACTAGATTGGCGTCGAGATCTCAGCAATTTACATTTGAGCTGGCTAGATGTAACCGTAAGTTCTATGCTAACAGTTTCTTTTTTCAGATAACTTTAATATTTAAAAATTTAAATGCAATGTCAATCGCTATCTACTGTCTTCCTGATTATTATTTTCCCTTCCCGCTAATTAGAAATGTTTCTTCTCTAATTCTTCCACATCCAGTAATCCGTAGTTTCTTAGTGGCTTTGCAAGGAGTGAAATCGATTAAAAAAGATTGCTGACAAAAGTTTGGTTTACACCAGACACCTCACCACAAAACTAATTGGTATAGATCCGAGTTACATGAGATTCAAAAAGTTAGATATAAATCTGGTTTATACTAGAATAAATCAAAGTAGACATATATTCGGTTTATATCCGAGTCTGCAAATATTCACCCGGAAGGTGACCTTTGTTTTTGTTGTGGTGGTAGTGGTGATCATACCTTTCTGCGGGAGATGAATCAGCGTCATCTACATCCCACCGACAGGGTAATCTTTTAAATTGATTATTTTTATGGTATATATTAATAAAAGTAAAACATTTAAATATATGCTTAGATTAAAACACGCACTGAAATTAGACGAGACAAAATCAATTTATTAAAAAAAAAATTAACTCTAAAAACGGCGGGAAAAGTTTGCACGAACCCGCACGCCGAACGGACGAGAAAATTAGAAAAAAAAAGAAAAAGAAAAATTCATTTTTAAATGGTAGTTTTTATGCTTATTTTAGATTTATTTATATACGAAAATATAAAATGTTATGTTAACTCTTTTAGATGATAAAAATAAAGGAAAAGAGAAAAGAGGTCACGATTCGGTCACTCCTCCTACCCCAATATAAAGCATGCTTAAGAGAAATATGAAATTAACCCCTCCCTATACTCTACCTTGTCTCGTTAACTACAACTATCACCCTCCCTGTTAAATTACAAAAATTACACTACCCATCAATTTCTAATCCCAGTTTTTCCTTTCATTTTGTTGTTGGAATTGTTACCTGATGATCCGGCGTCCTTTAAAAAGGATTTTGGTGAAATAAATTATTGTAATGGTAAAGTGGTCTGTTTTTCATTATATATATATATATATATATATATATATATATATATATATATATATATATATATGTATATATATAAGCAAATATATGGTTATAGATCCGACAGTATGAAGAAAATATACGGAAAAAAAAAAAAGAAAATCCTAATATGCAATTATGCTGTTTTAATGTTAATATAATGTCAACGTCGGACATATGTCCTGAAGATGGTCTGTTAGACCGAAACGTCCGACTTTGACATATTAACATTAAAACAACATAATTGCATATTACGATTTTTGTTTGTTTTTTTCTGTATATTTTTCTTCATATATATATATATATATATATATATATATATATATATATATATATATATATATATAAGTATAGGATTGGTTTATACGGAAAAATTCCAATAACCAAAAAATACTATTCTTAAAAGAGTGCTCAATACAGAGTAGAGCAAATATAATCATTTATTCGAAAATTATTACATAAAAATGTTATGAAATCACTACAAAGATAGCCAGTTTGTTTCAAGACTTCTGGTGTCTTTTCAAGTGATGGTGTTGAACTGTGTGTGTGTAAAAATTCAGATAAAATATATCTGTAAAAAGACACTATGAATAAAGATATAAGGAAAACTTATCTTAGCTGAGGGACTTTATCAAGGCAAATGTAAACATTTTATTTTATGACAAGTATTTATATACAAAAACAAAAGTGTTGTTTTTCAAAATTTTTTTTACAGGAAACATACTAACAAAAATGACCCTGTCAATTTTTACTCCCACCACTGTAATAATAATTAAATTAGGAATAATATAAGATTCTATTTGTTGTAACTGAGTTATCAAAAACAACAGTAGAAACACGGAATTGAAGTTTATTACCTTTTGGTACGAGGAAACATAATGTAGAATAGAAACTAATATTTTGCTCCCTTTGTGGGGGAGACTATTTGCAATTAAGAGGTGGCTCCATGCTCCTCAAAACCTCCTAATCAAAGGCCTTGCTGTCGGATGTAGTTTATTGTCATAACCAAACGGTTAGTACAGGTGAATCAACTCAAGTGCCATACGGAATACACGCTTGAGCGATCATGTCTCTTTTCGATTCATGACTGCCTAAGTAGCAGTTTTTTCCGCAGTAGGCTACCGTTTCTTTTGCGGTAGACTTGTTAACAACCAAGGTTATAGAGTCCAGTATGTTCTGCTATTTAACCCACAGCTGGGGAGAGAAGAGATTAATTCATATCTTTCCCAAGGGCATTTGCTCGTCAGTGAATGTAACGACCCCGACTGGAATTCGAACTCTTCTATCCAATTATTTATTAAGATCATTTTTATTACTACACGGCACACCCAACAAATGAGTACACAGCTAAGAATACAATGGACTGAACATGTGAGAAACGAAGACATTTTGAAGAAAATGGAAGCAAAAAGGAAACTTATAAAAAGAGAGTTGAGATTTCTAGGTCACATCATGAAGAAAGAGCGGCTTGGAAAATTTGACACTCACAGAACAGATTGAAGACAAGAGGGCAAAAGAACGAATACCATACTTTGCGAGCTTGACTAAATGGATGGCAGAACAGTGTTTAGGAGATATAAAAATAGACAAATATTATTAAGAGCCACAATGGACAGGAAATTGTGGAGAGCCATGATCGCCAACACTCTGAAGTAAGACGACACTTGGGAACAGAATAGCGATTTTCCAAGCGTAGCTCAGATGTGGCACAAGTCCGAAAGTATGGGGCACCCAGTGAGAATCGAACTCACTACTTAGTCGTAATTGTTCTAGCGAGACAAGCTCGTTAATCATTACACCGCCTCGAGGTGCCCCACTTAGGAAAAAGAATATGAGACTACAATATCTGACGGAAGCACACAAATTCGTAGATCATAAAATCAGTTCATTGCTGATGTCTTAAGAATTCCCAGTTTACGTAGGAATCAACTCGTGTTCCCTTGGAATATGAATATCGTTGTATACATGAGAAAAAAAAATTCTAAGGTGATGTTTAAACATATGCTTACCTTTCGGATTAATATATATTCCCAAAAGACGCAGCGTGAAAGTATAAATATATAAAGATGGATTTTAACATCAAGTCACACGAAAAGAAAATCGCGTAGGGAGTTAA